CCAAATGCGGTTAAATGCTGATATGATAAGATTTAAAAATGAAATGTTTGCTAAATGCTTAAAAGTATACATATTCCATATTAAATAGTTACAAAAAAAAAAAAAAAATATCAACGTATATTATATATACATACATATGTGTATGCGTGATTTCTGCATTTATGCTCGAATGTTAAAGAAATTTAATTTTTTAATTAGTGAGTCGCTTGTGGCTTTAGAAACATCGTTGTTTATTTTTTTAAATTTTATATGGACGATTTTTTGCAATTTTATTTGCAAACATAACTCATTTTCTATTACTAATATTGTTTATAAAAAATTAACAACAAGAAATGGAAATAATTTTAAGTCTAAAAATTCGATTACTGCTAAATTAAATTCCTTTACTGTAATAATTTCCAGAAATTTAGTCGCAAAAGTCTTCTCTGCAACACAAACAACACAAACTCACGGAAATAAGAAAATAATTGTTCAGAAAACCTGACTAGACACAAACAAAAAAAAAAAAAAAAAAAAAAAAAAAACTATGCCAAGACTTGATGCTAATTACCATATTATGCAAGAATATTAATTTTAGCTAGAATTCGTAGAAAATAGACAACATAAACCCGATAAAATAAATAAATTGAAAACAAATAAACAAAGTGAAAAAAACAAGTTTGCAAAATGATTAGCCAAAAAACACAAAATTTTCGGGCACGAGCGGTTAGAATAGATTTTAGCATAAATAAATATAAAAGTTAAAAAAAAAATATTTTAGCTAAATATATTTGATAAATATTTATCAAAACAAAATGAACAACAAAAATTTTTAAAAAGTTTTATAATACAAAGTTAAACTATGGAAATTTTTTAAAAGCAAATATTAATAGAATGACTTTTTAAAAATTGATATACTCGTGTATATACTATATATATCCCACATGCATCCAAATGGTCCGGGTCCAGATTATACAGGTTTTGATAGAAATAATATTTATAACTTGTTTGTTTGTTTGTTTCTAAATACATTTAACTGATTATAGCAATTTCCAAATAAAATCACATACAAACGTAATAAAAAATTTTTAAATAATTTATTTGCATAATGTATTATTAAACAGGTTCTTGTTTTTCATGCATTTCACCATCACAATGTTTTGTTCTTGTTTTATTTATAAATCATTTAATTTCTATTGACTTTTTGTGTCACTTCATTATAATCATTTAAGCTTCTTGAAACATCTTAACGCTTTGGCATTTAAGTGATTTACTTGATATTGCATAAATTTTTATTGTTGCTTTGAGAATTCATTTGCAATTACTCAATCAGCTGCATAGAAATAATTTCGAAAAATTATTGGGAAAATTAGCTTTAATCGAGAATTAACTACCTCATATTTCTTTTAAATCGCCTTTTTATAACTGTGAGTACGTCTAGCAGTTAAAAATCGAATACGGCACTATAAATAGAAATATAAATATAAATATAAATATAAATATAAATATAAATATAAATATAAATATAAATATAAATATAAATATAAATATAAATATAAATATAAATATAAATATATAAATATAAATATAAATATAAATATAAATATAAATATAAATATAAATATAAATATATAAAATATTTATATATTTAAGATTAGGAAATTTCGTTCATGTCGAAACAGATACAGATAATAAAAAACCTATGTTGCTTGTGAGAAATACATATAGAAAAAAGTATTACTACTGATAAAAAACTAACAACAAAATATAATTCTTCCCAAAGATCCTTTAAGATGAGATGAAAATTACAACCAAATGGCATTGAATGTACAGTTAATGATCAATTTTAAGGTATATTTATTGTTTTGGGATTTTTTTTCAAAAAGTGCAATTACAAATGTACCTTTATTTTCCTAATAATTTTCATTAATTTTAAAAACCTATTACTTATGCTCAATATTTATTAAGTTTTTCATATGTTAATCCTATGCGATGATTACAAATTGTATCTTACAGTTTCACACGGGACATCAAACCACGGACTCCAAGAAGACCATATGAAACTAGTTCAATTGATGTACAAAACGATAAACTATTTAACAAAACTGTTATTTCCTATGGCATAACAAAATAATTTACTCATCAACATATGTTTGCGATTTTTCACTGCCAAGTGACAGACGTGTATGCGTTTTGTTTGTAGCGCAGCATTCATCTCTCTCAACACAAATTATGACTGTTTTTACAGTAATCCTAAAAACACTCATAAAGCTTGAACACCTATACACTTACAATGGAAGCGCACAATCAGCACTATTATAGCAATAAAAGCAATAACACAAGCCAATTAAGTTGCAAAAGATAATGCAAAATAGAATTATTTTTTAAAATGCTTGTTATAAACAATTATTATAAAAAAATGGAATAAAGCCGAACGGGCGAACAGAACAGTAGCTGATCATAATGAAAACAGGTAACAAACACAGATGTACAATAATAAAAAAAAAAACAGTGGACCCTTAATTGCCACAGCCGATCTGTCACAGTAGTCCGCGTCTGATCTAGACTATAGACCATATTGTCAACCGTGAGGAGGTGACGGTGCTGATGGTGGAAAGTGTTAAATGGCAAATGGTGGCGCGGTGTGAGGAAGTGCAATGAAAAACTGAAAACAGCAACGCGACGCGACGGTCGTTACGCTTATATTTTACTCTCTTTCGTTTAATGCTGAATAGCTACAATGAATGACAACAAATCCGGTTTCACTTTTTTCTACGCGTACGCAGTGCCGCACACTTGCACAGTGGCACAATTCGATATGCAAAATAGTTGTCTGACTGTTTCTTTTATTTCGTTTCATCGATATTCAGCATCGAAAGGTTACGGTTAAGGTCGTTTGATGCTGCTTCTAACCTTAATGTTAATTTTACTTGCATATGAAAAAGCTTCATGGCTCTTTATAAGCTTCGCCAAAACAGACTATTTGAACATGAAGAAGAGGATTAAACAATACTCAAAGCACATGCAGTCAACAATATTGCAATAATTGCTATTCGAAGTTATTCACAATATTCGAGTCCGTTTTCTTTGATTTCCGAAAAGGTAATAAAAACGATTTCTTATTTAATTATTATTATTGTTCAAAGGTCTTTTAGACGAGCTACTTTTCAAAAATTTTCATCTCGTGAAAACACTTCTTCAACCACTGTACTTGCTTTGCGACCTCTACCGGAGTTAGGTTGATAATTGAATATAGGATCGTGAATTGCATCCAAATCCATTACCGATAATCCAAAAAAGGATATGAAATACCTTGATAATTAAAGTCTAGTGAAAAGTAAAATTAACGTTCAGTCTTCGATTATTTCTGCATTAAATTGAAGGCGTTAATTGCCACAGTTAAATTGTCTGAGATGTGTCAAATATGTGCCGTTTTTCTCGATGGTTTTTTGTGCCATTTCGAAGATATGTCATAATGCCTCTCTCATAGAAACCCTTGCTCCCACTGGCAGACAATTCAGACAATCAATTTTCAAACATCTCTTGAGGCCAATTGCTCACCAACCAAATTATTTGCCACAGACAGGCAAAAATGGTGAAAGGTCTCGGCTATAAGGTAGATGCATAAAAACCTCATAACCAAGCTCTTGGAGCTTCTAGCGAGGCACTATCGATGTGTGTGATCTGGCGTTGTTATTATGAAAGCGATTCCCCTCTTGTTGGCCAGCTGGGAGCTTCTCACAGACACAATAGATCCAATTGAAGAGTTTGATCCTAGGAGAGCAGCTCATAGTAGATGAGTCCATTGTAATTACCGTACTGAATCAACGAATCCAAAATTGTGCATGACTGACTGTTACGGTATCAGCACCATAAATACCATTCATTCAATACTGGCAGCATTTGGCAGGCGCTCAAACGCAATCGAACTGAGTGATCTACCACTAACCTTCTTAGTACAATATCACCTTACCGACGCCATCTAGTGTAATTCAAAGGAAACTTACAGAACGCGAGATACAGATCACCAAAGCAATCTATTCCAAAAATATTGGATTGCTTTTAACCAGACCTTGTTCTCAATAACTGGCGCATCAATCCACAGTATAAGCCACTGATCACATGGACCTGAAATTTAGAGAGTGTCTTTCATGTATGACATAGGAATCAGATGAGAAAGGATTATGCGGGAAGTGGACCTGTGAGCAATTCGTTCGAAAAAAAATTATATATTTTTAAATCATTCGATTTACATGACATTTCTCGTACATAAAATAGAATATGCAACAAAATATTTTTTTTCTTTATCTATGTATATGAAAATATCTCGAGAATGACGTACGGATTTTAAAAAATATCGATTTTTGCTAAACTTGGAAGCATTTGAGAAATAACTCATTTAGTCTCTTTGAAATAATATTAAAAAGGTGTAAGAAAAAATCCAATTGAAAATATTGAAAATTATTTGAGTTATGCCAACTTAAAAAATCGTGATACGAGAAAAATGCATTTAAGTTTTGAGACATGCAAAATATATGTATGTATATCGCAGTGTCCCGTTGCGTTCTTGAATAATTTTTACGAATAAAAAACATCCATTTTTTTTTCATCTACAAAAACTTAGTCAAATGATAATTGTTAGTTAATTAATTTTTATGAAAACTTAAAAATTGCCGCAAATTGTATAAGAATAAATTTCTATTTTTATCATGTGAGGGTGAAAAAAAAATTAAATGATTGTCCATAATTTTTTTCATAATTTTTTAGGAAAATAGCCATTACTGTTATACTGTACCGTCAGCATTTCGATCAACGCCAATTGAATATTTTCGAATGCGTGATGCGTTACCAAATGTGTAAGTAAAAATAAAAATAAAAATATAAATAAAAATAACGGCAATAAAAATAGACTGCAATTAATCAATTACGAATGAGCTAGTGGTCAAAATTCAAGCAAATATCATATTTACGCTTTGCACTGATAATAATAATAAAAATAATAATAAAATGAAATCACTTACCACACAAAAACTTAAGGCAAAGAGCTGGTCTACAGCACGCCAAGCAGCGTAAACTATTTTCTATGTATGTAAATATGTAAGAAATTGTTTAAAAACGTGCGTGCGCACCAAATCCACTATCAATTGCACACCCTAATCTAAGCTAAAGTTTTTCGCCTTTGTTTTGCTTTCCGTTTTTCTTTTTTTAAGATTCTTAGTTTGGTCGCCGATTTACAACTTTTTTCGTTTTTCCGTTTTTTTTTATTAGTTTTGCTATTTATGTAATGCACTGGTGTCCGAAGCAACAACTATTTTGACGATTGCACTCGACTTTTCGCCACTTTTTCGACGTTCAAAGTTTCACACGCTTGCCGCAGCACACCAAAGCTGGGTATACGCCAGGTTGCTGCTCAGTGGAATGGCTTTTATAGCAAGCGTTTTAATATTTATATGTATGTAAGTATATTTTGAGAATTTATTTTTCATGTGAAAAAATTCACTTAAATTTTGGCGAAAGTAACTTTTCACTATTTTGTAAAGTTTTTTTAATTTGATATTAAAATTTTATTGAAAAAACTCAGTTTTTCAAGTTTTCAATTTTATTTCCGTTTAATTATTTTGTCTCATTAACTTAAAAATATATTTGATTTTATTAAACGACGCGCTTTACTCAAGCTTTTCGGTTGCTTCTTCCGCTTTGCACGTCCACCGTCACAAGTTGCCGCAATTGAACTGAGCTCCGCTTTGTTGGTTGGAAAATCATCAACTCGGCTTAGCCAAAACAGCGCACACAGCCCATTTGCGCGCTGCTCTGCCTAGTCGTCGTTGTCATTCTCGCTGGCGCTAAACTAAAACCCAACCTCACCTCCCTCGTCGTGCTTGTTGCTCGGCACATTCAAATCGATCGATTGGCGCGCGCTGTTCATCGCCAGCAGTGATCATCATTATCACAGTTCTGCTTTTGTCTATTCTGGCTCCCTCGCTGTTGCTGTTGTTGTTTAGTTTGGCTAAAGCTGACGTCGCTGCTACGCTTCTAGACAGCTGTTGTCGCTTGGCGGTGGGCGAAGACCTGTTTGTCGAGTTGCGAATGCAATCGTATATTTGTAGATACGTGTATTTGCTGCGATTGCGTCTTGCCGGCATTTTGTATGCAGCAACTCCACCTTGAAGTCGCTGGCGTGTTTGTGGGAAAAATTGCTTTGGTGGGCACCCAAGGCGCGCCGAGGTGGAGTGCATCTGTGATTAACTGAAAAAAGGCAAATGACATTTGCATAAGTTATGTCAACATTGTCGACAATTCGACGTTAAGCCGGCGCAATTTTTCATGGCATTTTAGCGCTGACTTGGTGAAGCTGATGCGATAATTGGCGGTCTTTGGAACGAACTTAATTGTTTCATTATAAATTTCTCAACAAAATTCAGTTATTTAACGCGGCATTAAGGAAATCTAGCGAAATTCAGATGATTTGTTGAATGTTTAATTCCGAAAACGTGCCTAAGTGAGAAGAGCTCTGCAGCTGATTTGATTAGATCGTGAAGCAAACATTTTGCATTTGCAGGGAGTGTTGACCTTTTCGGGCTTTTTCCAGGTGTATTTGCTTTCCGCCGATTAAAAAATTTCAATGTACTATTTAACCTTCATGAGCTCCCTAAAAGAGCATAAGACTCTCAACATCGTTCATTAAATTCTTGACAAATTTTACATCGAGCTAAAAAATCGATTTCAACAGTTTTCATGGAGTTCTTAAGTTTCCAGAGTGGACATTTTTTCCTTAACCTCCACTCCATCGGAAAGGTGCAGAAGGACCTGGCGCTGATCTTCAGCAACTTTTCTGTGGCAAAGATAGGGTAACATTGCTGGCAGCCTACACAATTGGTAAGCTGATTGTAACCTATGCTGCACCGATCTGTGCACCGGGTACAAACGCAGTTGAAGAAGTTACAAGCCAGCCAAAACGACGCATGTAACGAGTCCCCGCATAACACTAACCACCTTTTTGCATGCCCTCTAAAACCATCTATCCTCCGCTCCCTCTGATCCAAACCCGTCGAAACACAACCAGCTGCACATTCAGGCAAACCAGAACAAAATAAGATAACAAAAGGATCACGAGATATGTACGCCTTATAAAGAGGCCCAAAGTAATTGGAGTTCTGACAGGCCACTGTCTTTTAGGACGACATGCAGAGAGTCTGGGGACAATACGAGAAGCTGCAAAACTGCAAGTATAGTGAGGAGGAACAAACGATCACCAATCTTTGATATAAACAACTAACCGTCTGAATGATCTAACGAAAATAGACATCAAAATCATGGATCTAATGAGGTTTATTAGAGGATCAAAAGGGTTGGATAACGAAATCTAAAGGTCAAGATTTTATGGCATCACAATCGGTCTTATCGGGCCAGCGCAATCAACGCGATAGATGAGTAACAACTACAACCTAACCTAACTTAATTAACAAACAAAACAAACATAAAACCACTTGGTATTTATGAGAAAAGAAACACGAGAAGAAACTTTGAAATAGATTTATTTACTCACGTTGTAAAAGGACAACTGAAATCTAGATCTTTGATGCCAACAATAGCAACAGAGGGCTCCTTGTGTCTTTTGAAACCGCATAACTTTGGAAACCTAACTCAAATATAGAAAACGATTTGAGAATACGCCGAGTAAGAAGTTAGCTGTTAAGGTCTTGTCTCTCCTTGTCTTCCTTGAGTGAACATTAGCAGAATTAAAGATCACAAAGGACAAAGAATGCTGGTTGAAAATTCTTAGAACCTCGCTACAATAAAGACAATGCAATTATACTGTATCTGAGGAGGATGAGAAGAAGATGAGAAAAGTGAAAAGATGAACTAGCAGAATGAGAGAAAATAATTCATTGTACAGGCAGACATTTTTTTGAACTCCGGTCCAGCATTGCATTGGAGTACTTGCGTGCAAAGAAAGTCTTTGAAATGGGTATGTGTATTTTTAGACTTCAAACCTTTGAACGCATGTGTAGATCCATAAACGTTGAACTATTTAAAAATGAAATCTTCTATACAGAAAATGGTAACAACTATAACAACAACTATAACAACAAACATCTGTGAGCTAAACGAGCGCCAAATGCTTGCTTTATTAAGAAAAAACATTTAAAAAATGCATTCTGTGCTTTCGATCCAAGATTATTTGAAATACTCATATACATAAATAAAAAGGGCTATCCATTTTGCCATTATTTGGCAGACGTTGGTTTTCAAGTGCGCATAAGCACGGTCTTTCGCGTAAAAGGCCAATTGACATCGCCAAAACCTGAGGTTATGCGGCCAGGGAGTTTTTCTCGCAGTAAAACCATAGACGCTCTCACGTCGTGCGGCATGTCGCAGCATCTTACTGAAACCATAAATTGTTCAAGTTGAGTTTTGCACTTGCAAGCCAAAATAATTCGGTTATTATGTGACCATAACGTTCCGTATTAACAGTGAGAGTTTTGCCGTTGTCGTTTTCAATGAAGTACGAAGTAATGTCTTATCACACCTCTGGACCAAAGAACGCACCAGACACCAGATAAGCTCTTAAGGATTGTTTGAGGATTCTCGGAACCCGAAATGCCCAATTTTCGTATATACGTATCCCCCGGGTGGGAAATGAGGCTCGTCGCTGCAGAAAATTGTTCGAAAAATCGTCGTTCTCTGTTTGGTGTTCATGCAACCCATCGACGTATGAACGGCGTTGTGAATGACCAGCTTAATTTCTAAGTCTGAGTACAAAATAAGCCATAATGTGCCGTAACAGAGTCCCAGCTCTTGAGAACGTCGATAAATAATCACACTCGGGTCTTCGGCTGCACCTACACTTACTCGTACATTGGCGATATTTGAGGTGGAACGAGCAAAACGATGATGCACCGTCCTTGCACCGAACCAGTCTCTTCGAATTTTCTTATAATTTTACAAATTTCTCGAGCAATTGGACGATTGTATGCGCCATAATCTCCTCTGAGAGCACGAAAAGTGGTTACATTTGAGTCACCATTTTTTTTTTTTAGTAGAGTTTAACAGTTTTAACGCGTTTTGCGTGACCTGACTTTTAACGGAAACGAAACATGATTGGTTAGGTAGTTAAGTTCGGACAAAATACAGCCCATAATACAGTACTTTTCAAACCACGAAATGGATAACCCTATACTTATGGATGTATATATTTACATAAATACTTTCTGGATTTCAAAACACTTGTTTGAACCGATTCCATGTGAAATTCAAAGTCGCACTCGCACGTGCATACAAATATAGGCAACCTCATCGATTTGAAGCCAACATTATTAAAAATTAAAAATTAATATTTTTCTATTATTTGCCGCTTAGAATTATTCTACACCGATCTTCATACTTGGCTGCATGCGAAAATCAAAGCCATTATCAAATATGAAAATAGGAAAAACATCATAATTACAAAATAATAAGTTTCAGCGCAAAAAGTAGGAAAAACAATGAAAATAAAATTAAACATAGTAAATTTGTGCTAAAAAAGTAATTGCAAAAAAATTTTGACCAAAACAAAAAAAACACACATAATGTACGCTATTAAAAGTTAAAGCCAAAAAGTGATTACAAACATAAAACTAAATATTTCGTATAGATTAGTATTTGAAAAAAATGTTGAGGGTAAAAAAAATTTTGAGGGCAAAAAAATATTCAACTAAAACAGCACCAAGTAAATGGGCATATATACATATATATATTTCTAGTCATATTTTAAATATTGTATATGTATAATAGCTTAATTATATACCAAGAAATTGTGGCTGCTAAGAGTCGCTTAATGCACAGAAATTATTTTTCACTTGACAAAATTATTAAGAAAAATAAAAAAAATTAATTAAAGAATATTTCAAATTAAATTTCCGCATGTTTCTTCAATTAATTGCTATTTATCGATAACGGAAATAATATTTTCCGATTTTTTTTTTTTCAAAAATTGCATGTTTCAACTAAATTTTCTTCGTTTGCTTTATAATTATGGCAAGAAATGCTTCATCACCTATGCAATTTAAGTATTAATACTACTTATGCCTGACAGCGTGTTAATTAGTTTTTATTTTTTATTTTAATTTTTTTTTTTCAGTTTTACATTTTTTAATTTTACACAAACACACGCATTCCAACACCAGTTGAGAGACGTGTAATTTTAATGTCATACCAGCTTTCAGATCTACAATTACAAATTCGTGCCCTTTATCCCTGGGGATTTTCTGGTTTTTAAACACGCATAAAAGCAAATTTATGTACATATATTTTCATATACATATGCACATATCTCGCTTATGTAATAATTGAAATTCTTTTTCGCGTGAATGTTGACAAGATCTTTATGGCTTTTAGCGTACTTCGCACTTGAGATTTATTCTACACATGTCCAATAATGGTATTCAACACATACATATACCTACATAGATGCATATATGTATGTACATACGTGTATGTATAAGTACCGCAAACCATACGCTGCGCACAAGAGTGAGTTAAAAAAGAATAAAACTAACTAAAGAAAAAAATTAATGAAAGTGAAGAGAATCGTTAAGAGTTTTTGTATTATTTGCAGAAGTCATTAAAAAATTTGCGCTGATTTATAATTCACCACTCAAAACACGTTCCAAATAAGACTCAGCTGAATGACCACGCTAAATTCATTTTGGCTAATAGATGCTCGGCGATAAAAGTTATAATTTAGTGATTTTAGAATTTTATTTGTTAATAATTACATTTATTTGTACTCTGATTTACACATACATACATACGTTTGTAATCTAAATTTAAGGTAACCCGTTTTTTCTTATTAAAAATATCAAAAAGAACTTTGTTCCCAAATAATTCCAAGAAAATAATTACATATTTTGTTTTTTGTTGATTTGTATTTTTTCTCAAATTTAATTTGCATAAATTATAGCCAACTAGAGAAGAATTAATATACCTGTATATAAACACCTTTTGTTTTCCCCACCGAAATACGTGTTTTTAGTTCTCTTTGAAATGTTAATTATTTTTCATAATTACCATGATATATAATTATTTTTAGTTTTCTTAGAATGTCCGTTTTATCGCTTTTTTATTTAAAATTTTCTTTTTTTTAATTTATCTGTCCTCGTTTTTTTCAAAATAAATTTAAATTTAATTTATTTAATATTTAATTATTATGTGTTTCATTAAGCTATAAGTTTTATACATATGTTTTAAGCTTTAATTCTTAAATGGAAAATTTTTAAATATTTTTGTAATCCCTTGTTGATTGCGGTCGTATAACCACTTTTTGAAGGGCCTTTTTCGTGGTGCCCCAATTCATAATTTTCCTTTTATAGCAAAGAAAAGTATATTCATATGGTTTGGTTTAAAATCTATTTTGTGATCGAACCACCGCAAAATTTTCAAATCAAATAAATATTTGAAACAAATTCAAATCTACATTGATTTTTAAAATATAATAACAACATAGTATTTTGAAATTAAGTTATTTCAACGAAAAGTAATAATAATTACTTTTTATTTACTCATTCCTTTACTTGTATATAAAAGCTATAATATAAAAACAAGAGTAAAGGAATTATTACATGTATTTTTGAAGGCATGTGTTACCATACAAGTTTTTTATTGACCTTAAAATAAAACATAGAATGTGACACAAAATACACATTGAAAATATTATATAGTATAATGGAAAGAGAGTTAAATAAAAAATTGTAAAATGATATTAAAATTGTTAATCATTCAGCTAGAAAACGTTTATATTCAGCCAAAATCTGCTCCTCCTGTACTAGCGGCAAATCCAGATAGTCATCATCGTTATTTGTGAGATCTTCATTGAAACGTTTATATGCATTTAAAAATTTCATTTCTTGTTTGAACTTTTTTAATGCAGTTTGCACAAGTGCGCTTGCGCCGCTCGATGTCGAGGGTGCATTATCGTCTACAACATTTGAGGCAGCTTCAACCATGCGCTGCATTTGCTCTGCTAGCTCTTCTTCGTTGCCGCTTGCTTTGACAAGGAAATCTAGGGATTTTTCCAAATTGTTTGCATTTGCTTCAAGTGCCACACGCACCATTTCCTCATTAAAGCCGAGTGTCTTAAGCTGTGTGCAGATTTCCGAATCGGCCTTTGCTTTCTGCGGCACCTCTTTAGCTAATTCATCGTTATTCATTTGCAGTAAGTCCAACTATAAAATTAAAGCAAACAAAACACCAAATAAAAATTTATGTATATTTATATATATATAAAATAGTGCATTTATGTACATATGTACTTCAAACACATACCGCTTGCTGTAGATCGTTTTTCGTTTTCTTAAGCGCTGCAACTACCAAATCATGTTGATAGCCCATCTCCACCAATGTACATACACTACGCGGATTTACCCATTCATGATTGCTATTACTACGCGACAATTTCGCATTTATTTTACGCTCTTTATGTGACTGTTGGCGCGCATCCCGTTTCTTTTCCTTTTGCTCATGTATGATCGCAATAGCTTTTTCTATATCATTGCTACCTGCACGTAGCCCCAACCGTGCTTCGTGAGGTTCAAAGCCCATTTCAACAAGCATTTCTACAGCCTTGTCATCAATTTTCAATTCACGCAATTCGCTTGCAGCGAGCTCTAAACGTTCAAAAGCCTCATCGCGGCAATTCTGATGGAAGAGTACCACACCCTGAAGTAGATGTAAACGCATAATAAGTGCACGCTCAGGACACGCATTTCCCTTAAGTGCAATTAAACGATTCATGTTTTCGCCATAGCTACGACGGAAGCTCTGCTCACAGATGTTCAGGCGACGCTGTGCATCAGGTAATTGGGTAACATTCTATAAAATTAAAATTATTAATGTATAATAGTTTTTGCTGCGCTGTTTTGCTATCTTACCTTGAGACACAAATAACACCACACAATATCTAAATTTATCAAGGCATAATTGTCCACAGATTCGATAAATTTGGAATCACATGTGGAAAATTTTTCGTCTGCTTCGAGCAGGAGTATTAATGCCTCATCATAGTGTTGTCTTTTCATAGCTGCACGTGCTTTTTCCACGTATCCCATAGCCATTAGCAGGGCACGATTTTCATTTGGTGGTAGAAATACAGGATTTCCATCTTGATCTTCCATCTAAGAAATACAAGAAATATGTAAAGAAAATACATTACAATTAGGTAAGTTAGCTACAATTAAAAAATAAGAGCCTTTGTAATATTTTTGTTGTGTTTTGTTACAAATTGCTCATTGTTTTGCACAATCATCTTTTTCAAACCCTAACCTCGAAGAGCTGTCTCTCAGAGTCCACTATTGATTCAACATCCATTTTAATTTTTCGTATACGATCGTACATTGCATCCTTTGAATTTGCTCCATCATGCTCAAAATCGCTTATGATGACCATTAATTGCTGGTTATTTTTCACTCCTGAGTAAATACATATTTAAAGGATTGTTTATGAATCTTTCATATATGCATATATTTTCAACCACCTACCCTGCATTTCAAGCGTTTTTTCTGGATCAATAATCTTTCCGGCACTAATACATTTTACACAATTCGGATCCGATATTTGTAGTTCATCGGCTATACGTTTTTGCAAATCTTTTCCAAGTATGTTTAATTCACATTTCATATTTTGAATGGTTTTTGTACCCTCTTCGTTGCTAATGCGTCTTACGGTCAAGGTAGCGAAACCTGCAGGTAAACAGCTTGTTATATACACACAATGAAATTACTAAGGAATTTCTGCATACGCTTACCTGTCTCGCTATATTCCTTTCTGGCTGCCAATTTTCTTAGAGCACCTTCCTGTAGCTCAGTTAAAGCTAATTTGCAATATGAGGTGCTTATACTCAAATTTCTGCTAAAATCTACTGCTAGGCGCTAGAAAAGTGCACATATTTAGGTATTTGCAGCAATTTAAATTTAAGAAAAAATACTCACATCTATTTCAGATTCAATACTCCCAATATCTGCGTAATAATAGGGTTCTTCCCAAAGGTGTATTTTCAAAAAATTCAAACGGGCTCTAACCTGAATGATGACATTGTCTATATTTGACATGACTGTGCTGTATTTGAAAGTATACTGATAAAACCGAACGTAACCCAAGAACTGATGCTAATTTCAATATTTCACAATCTCTTCTGAATATCAAAAACAGACCCTTTGTTTATTTGTATGTATTTCCTAGCAGTTCTATTATCAATATATACAAAATAAATAGAAATCATATGATTGTCATCGCACGGTTGCATTTGAAAATGTCCCCTTAGCGTTGCCACATTTTTAAAAATAACGGGGAAGCGAATGCATTCGCGTCAAGGATCTGAAAAACGACAACACTGAACACACTCCACGTTCAAAATGTTTCCTCTGCAGTGACATTTGTCGTTACGCATGAATGCCTTTGAAAGTCGAAAGCTTGAGCTGACCGTCGCTGCAGAAATATTTGGTACACCGCACCCAGTGCAAATTCGATCAGTGTTGTCGTGGACGAACTAAATTCTAAAGAAATTACAGTGGTTTTTACGACGTTGTAAGAAAGAAAATAAATTCGAAATATTCGAACGGAGAATTGAAATTTTTTGAGTGAAAGCTTTTTGTGCACAATTCTTTCAACATGGCTAATGCGGATATGGATATGAGGGCCAACTTGACGGATTTGTCTAAAATACCAGTGAAGGAGTTTGAAAAGCACTTCCGCGACTGGATGGAGCGCGACGATGTGGCGCGTTCACTACAAGCTAAATTACGGACAGATCTTATATCAAATTTCAATAAAACCGCATTAGGTGAGCATGAATCTGTGTTTTCGTGAGCTTCTTTGTTGCCCTGAAAACTCAGACATTTTTGTGTGCAGCTGGATTTCATTCATAAATTGGTTTTGTTTACGTTTCTGTTTGCGCCTTTTATTTATGTGTTGCTATGGTAACATTGTGCCTATCGATACCTAACTGTCGATAATGCAGTGTTGCCGACGTCGATGTCAGTGATGGAATGAAGTGCAATATATTTGATACATAATCGCTTAAAAACTTTAGAATCGGGTTCGCATTAACTCGTCTAAATTTAATATATATTTGTTTCATAGGTCGTCAAATATTGGCTCAAACTACCACCACCATTACAGGCGGTGGCACGCAGCGTCTGACGCTGTCGCCCCTGGTATTGGCGCTCAATACGCTCGTCGCTGAATTCCTCTACGCACAGAACTGCCACTTTTCGCTCTCAGTTTTTTGCACTGAAGTACCGTTTCGCAATACACTTCCGGATTTCGAAAGTGCACAACATTTCCGCTTTAGCTGTGAAGAGATTAAAGAAATACTAGAAGCCGTCTTCAACAAATCGCCACAAGATTCGCCATTTAAAAACATTATTTCGAAAAAATATGAAAATAATAAAAATATTTCATTGCTTATGGTGATTTTGCGGTACTTATTGCGACAAAAAGAGGATTACGCCAAGAGAGTAGCCGCGTTAAAACCGGGCACTATAAATGAGGGCACGCAAACAGTTGAGAAGGACGCCCATACGCATGAAAAAGGGAAATTTTCACCGCCCTCTGATAGCCGCGAGCCATGTTGCTCAAAAACTGAGATACCCAGCAGCAATATAAGATACCTCAATAAATACTTGATGATACTTTCCACCAAAGTTAAAGAAATGTCGGAACAACTGGCGGATTTGCGACACAAGCGCAGCAACTTGCCAGGTACTCGGCTGGCACGGTCTGTGCGAACCCGCCGCTATGATAAATTAAACCACAGTCTTGAGCGGATTATGAGTCAACTAAAACAAATGACACACACCAAGCGCAAAAGCAAACAAGTGGGAGCAGTTGTGTCAGCTGTCGACTCTTTGGCGACTCAGTTTTCGAAATGCGTAGACAGTTTTAGATCTGTATCCAGAGAGTTGATCGCCAGCAACGAAAAACGAAGCCTTTTGCAACAAGTTATGCCCAAAAAGACGGAGCTTACGCAAGCAGCAGTACAAGTGGATCTCTCCTACAGACGGGCCAATGGTGTGGAGCAGAAAAAGATCGTCGAAGAGAGGTCCTACACCGATTGGGTACACGAGATGCGTCATACAAAAAATGGACAGAAGTTTTTGGACAAGGTATACGCTCGAGACTGTTGATATATATACACATACAATAATTAATTAATATATATTTGAACTGCTTTTTCAGATAGAGGTTTCGCTCAAGAAGGCTTTGAACAAACAACGTGAACTTTTAAGAAAGGAGTCCGAAGAGAAGTTGCGACATCAAAAAGAAGTGCTGAGGATACAGTATAAAGAGAAGCTAATGGAGGTACTTTCTTTTTGTTTCACCAAATGAGGACTATTTAAATGCCAAAAACTCATTTCGTCTCATTCCACAGCAACTTAGTCGTCTGCCACCATATGATTATTCCAGCGAAGCGCGAAAGCTAAATGACAGTATTGGACGCCAACTGCAAGAGTTCGAGAGCCGTCACTCCGAGCTGTTGGAGAAGATTCAAGATGTGCGTAAAATCGAAATCAAGAACTTGCCCAGCAATGATACAGAAAAGGAAGCTGCTAATAACGGACCAGCAGATATGACTGACGAAATCGTGCGCAGAGTGGTTAAAGAAATGGTAACAGTACATTTTATAAAAACGTATGTTTATTTCTGTAAACCAGAATTTATTTCAAGGAACCTAAGTTCAGCCCAAGTGGTCCGCACTGCTTCACCCGTCAACAAGACAGTCCTCATATATATACCAAGGTACGCGATCCTTTGCTGAAAGACGTCGTAAATACGCAAAGACAGTTGCAAAAGATGGCCGAAAGCATTGTTGAACAAGAGCGCACTGTGGACCAAATCGTCTATGAAGCAAGGTGAGTCTAAAACAACCCTATTTTGCTTTTGCATAATTCCAAAAGTGTATTTTCCCACAGACAGCGCATTCAAGAGCTAGAGAATGAGAGCAATCAGTTGGAGTTGAACTTCCGTAACTATTTGGAGCGACAGCGCATACAGACGGAAACAATGCGCGAAGTAGTTTCTAGTCTGTCGGAAAGCAATAAAAAAGAAATGCCTAAAGTCGCCGACACTTATCGTAGAACTATGAGAGATATTCGCTCTGCCTCTCCGCCACTGAGCGCTGAGAGTGTAAACGAAAGCGCGAAGAAAGTAAAAACTCGCCACAAAACCGTTAAGCTAAAGGACTCGTCGCCAGAATTGACAGATCAAGAAAATAAAAACCCGAATTTTGAATATCGCAACGCGATCTTGGAAGCGAAAACAAAGCTTTTCAAAAACTATCGCTCTAGACAAGAAGAAACAGAAAGAGCTGATGAGGAACCTTATTATTATAATCAAAATTTCGGTAGTTGCGAGTCGCAGAGTAATATGTTGGCGAGTGCGGACCATTCAAGGTCAACTAATTTACCGGCAAACATAAATTACGCCAACGATCTTAACACGACGAGTGCTAGGAGTAATGGAGCGCCGCTGGGGCGATGTTATACAATACTACCCAATACGCCACAACCCAGCCTAACGAAACCAACAACAAGTGCAGCTGCTGAAACGTTGAAAGCACTACTTTCACGCACGGAGTCACCATTCTTAGACACAGCTATGCCGACAGTAATTGCTCAAAAAACCACGGTATCTACTGTTGCCATATCTGCAGCTGCGAGTGGTGCACAGATAGGAAATGAAGAAGGACTGCCTTCAGTTGGGTTTTCTAGGCTTTCGGATTCAGAAACACCAACGTCCAGCAACAATAGCGGCGCCTGGCACAATCAAAGTATACTCGTAAGTGATCTTAGTAGAAACAGTTGTAGAACCGATAAAAATGCAAAGAAAGAACCAGATGCAGATACAGATCGACGCACACGAAGTGTTAAGGACACAACACGAAAAATCCCACAAGAGACGCATCGTAGCAAAAATACCACCATTGGCGGAAGCACTCAAACGAAAAATCCAGCAGAAAACGCAATGTTGCTTATGGAGACTATGGAGCGTATGCATCGGCTATTTACCGAAGCGCCCGTGAACGGCAAGAAGGAAAAACCAACGCAGACCACCCTTAAATTCACAGAGAAACCGAAACCTATTTACCATGATCGCACACAAAAACAACTACCAAAAAGCCCAAAATCAAAAACAAGGAAGAGCGCCACTATGACCAGGGAAGAACCAAGTACGTCGATAAGGAGCATACAAAATAAAAAAGAAAGTAAGGAACCAAAGTCAAAACCTACAAAAACACCTAAAACGCCAGAGACGAGTGAAGAACCATGTGAGCAAACATTAAACACCTTCCACAACACCGGGTCCGTTATTCAAGACCTTACGGCGGAAAGTACGGCAGTGGCAATGAGACCGCACTTCTACAACATCACAAGTTCCGCCACAGTCATAAACGGCGTGGCTCCAACAGTTTCTTCAACAACTTTCTCCGTATGTGTGGATGATAACCTCAAAGAAGTGGTGAGTGAGTCTTCCATCGAAATCGCCAGCATGGTCGAGGCAGTCGATGAAGAAATAGAGTTGGAAGCTTTAGTGGCCGATGCGGAGGATTTAGAAGAGGAGGCTGAGGAGGAAGTTGATGAAGAGCAAGAGCCCATGGGTGGCGTTAAAGCCAGCGCTGTGCCAATGCCGTTGACCGAGGAGGTCAGTTCTTCATCCAGCAGCGCGGTGCACATGCTCGAGTATGGTGGTGGCGGTGGCGGTAGCGCAGGCCGCACCAAGAAGAGCGACAGTGGCAGTGACTTTTGGGAGTAAAACCAACCTAGTAAAATTGAAGGTAGTCTCTTCAGCGCGTGCTAAGGTAAATCAAACGCAAATGTTTTCAGGTCAGCAGCCAATAGAACAAAGTCTGAATCCAATCACTTTAGTTGGCCTAAACCAAAATTTCGATTTATGTTTTTTTTTTTTTTTTACAAATTTTCAAAACAAATTATTTGTAATAATTTTTACATAACAGATTTTACATAAATTAAATTGTATTCAAGAAAAAAATGTTGAAGAATACTGAAATACTTGGATGATAAAATTCGAGGCGGGAAGAGAAGGCATTGGTATTTGGTGCTTCGGGGCCGCCATCGACAAGAGTTCGGCCAATTTTTTTGAAGTACCTGGGAATTCGGCCAGCACTGCCAATCTGGTGCAATACTCCTCGTTTAGAGTAGTGATTGTGGATATTGCAGGTGGGTCTATCGCTGTAAAAAACACAGTTATACTTGGGAACGTTAGCTTGTTACACTTCTTCAGAGTGAATTATGTGTATTTACGGCCCTGGGTTCATTCAAGTTGAGCCACAAAGGCTTGCTTGTCTATAGTTTATAGGGTCACGTTTATGAACTTCCACGATGGCTACCAAACACTCCGTTAATGAGCGACAAAGCAAATCGGTGCTGCTCTGTTAGCTTGCGGTCTTCCTCTGGGCAGATGGGTTTTGAGCATATCCATGGTTCTTCAACTGTTTCGAGGAAAAGCCAAGGTACCGTTTACTGATGCTTTAGACCGCTCTTTGCATGGCAGTATTTTTAAGGTCCGACAGCGTGAGGTAAATGACTTAAGAGCTAGGATTATGAACGGCGATGTTTTTGTTGTAATCGCATAATACTTTATTCACATTTTGTGCACAACATATAAATTACAATAGATTCAGATTAAATCAGTGCATTTACTTAGTTTCTAAATTTTGTTAACCATAAATTCGCTACAGTCCACTAAGCCGAAATTTCACTAGCAAATAATTCTTTTGTTTCTTCTTTTCGGGCTAATTTCAGTCACATTTCGACTGCTCCTTCTGTGCTAAGCTGGCAGTGCAACATTGATTTTACTAAATTCTTAAATTCTAATTACACTAAGCCGACCCGCTGACCGTTTTATTTCTCTTTTTTTTCAGGGGAGGGGGTGCGCGGTGTGGGCGGAGTATGTAACAACCATTGGGTAATCGGCAATCATCAATTTCCGCTTCACGCTGCTGCCTCAATATACTACAAAGCATCGCCTGCAGCTCTTAAGCATTCAGCTGATGTTTTTTGCTGGCGGCCACGCCAAATGTAACAAAGTCCTTTCGTTTGTATTCGGCTAACGTTGGCGACGAGCTCGCCAAACGCCCTCTCAGACCGCTGTGCCATTAATCAAGTCGTAGTGGTCACCATTGTTGTTGTTGTTGCCGCTGCCGTTGATATTGATGCCGTTAGTCACATTCTGCAGACCCATCATTGATATGCCACTGTAGATACTGGCATGTGAGCGCCGTCTTTCACGCTCGAGCTCATCGGGGTCGTATGTGTCGCTCAACAAGCCGCTTGGCCGCCGCTGTTCGTCAAAGGCATAGGCGCGTTGAAATTTCGGCGGTACGCTGACCACACTACTGCTACCGCCACCACTGCCGATGCCGCTGTCAGCACCGCCGCTGGTGTTGCTGCTGAAGGACCGCGTGAGTATTGTATGCGCCAAGTGTGGCGGGTGGTGGGCGCGCGTTGCGGGAGCAGCCGATTGTTGTTGGATTTGTTGGTAGTTGGGCGTGTAGCCGGACGGTGAGGACGGTATGGCGGCAGGCCAATGTACTGCCGGTTGTTGTAGACGGCTGTCAGTGTTATTGTTGTTGGGAATGCTGGAACTCTGTACACGTTGTTGGAGTCGTTCGCCAAAGTTGCTGTTAGGCTGGGATGATGCAATCAGGTTGTCGTTGGATTTATGCAAAGCAAAAGCTGAGTTGTACATACCGCCGGCGTGTGATTGGGATAAATAAATGCTTTGTTGTTGTGGAAGTTGCTGTTGCTGTTGCTGCTGCAACATAACATTAGTCAAACGATTCTGGCTGTTGCTGTAAGTGTTATGCAAAGCTGAGGCGCTTGCGTGCAGTGAACCTGAGCCAAGGCTGTTCTGTGAGTTCGTCTGGCTCTTCAGAAAGGAACGCGGCAGCGTACGGCTCTGAAGAACTTGCACATTTGGCTGGTAGTCCTGGTGCAGACGATTTTGTGAGCCGCAATAGGCACTTTTTGCTGCATAGTACGTTTCAACGTTACTAAAGCTCGGCGGTGGCGGCCAGATCTCGAGCGCCGAGTCACTACGCTCGTTTGGGAATGCGCCTTTTTGTGTGGGCTTATCAGGCGGATAAAGTGTTGCGAGTGAGAGATTCGAGTTGAGTTTACGCAGATGAGCTGGCTCGACGCACATGGAGGAACGACGTAGATTGCGGTACGTTGGATTGGCTACGTATTGAGGATTGTCTAAAACAGTAGAGATTAGAAATCAGTGCAGTTAGCAAAACAGAAATAAACAAATTATTATTTGAATTGACCCACCAAATCGAAGCAGCATCTAAAAATACTCACACAACGTACGAATCGTGCTCTTTAGATACCGACTCTTTAGCTAGTGCTCAAATATTAAGTCCTACTTACCTTGAATAACGTAAATGTGCTCATCCTCATCTTGCATCTGCGAGAAGCCACCTTCCCCTTCATCATCATCTTCCGTCTCTCTGCCGCCTCGTCGCTCCTCCTCATTTTCACTATTTTCCCTACAAAAATCTCTACGACCGCTATTGCCGTGCCGTTGCCCATTGCTCAGCTGACTTGCGGCTTTGTAGCGACGACGTTGTTGTAGCACTTCATCGTCAGATGTCGCCACTGTATCCTCTTCACTGGCAATGAAGTAAATATTTTTCGGCTTTGGACGCATGCCAGCGCGCTTGCAGAATTCCTGAAACAGTTCATCTTTAGTCTTACGTATGCCACGCTTCAAGCCGCATAGCCGCTGCGGCTCATCATCATCATAGTAACTGTCCGACTGGCTGTCTGCCAACTGGCGGCGACGTCTATGATTTTTTTCATTTTCGCTTTCATCGCCACGTTCACTTTCGCTCAGTGTCACTGTGGCTGGATCAAGCGGCTGTGTGTTGGTTGCCATGTTCCGACGGCTCTTGCGCTCCACAACGTGTTGTGTTGTATGTCTCGAGTTGTGGCTGGGAAAAATGTCTGTGGTAGTCGAGACGCTGCGGGTGAGCGGAAAGTCTTGCATAAAGTCTCGGCCAAATTGTGCATACTGCATGGGCGACATACGGGGTAGCGTCTGTGAAGTGCCGCCCATTTTGATGGTCGAGGGCGGTGGTGGCGGTAGGTCGGCCGAAGACTCAGTGTAGAGTTCATTAAGAGATTTGGCAAAGTTTCTTGAATGCAAATTGCACTTCGGCTGCTGTGCTTTCTCGAAATAATACCTGAAAATGGGGTGAGAAAGAAAAACAGTTGAAGACAAGCAATGTCAAAGTGAGACATTTGTATGCTCAGTTCAGCGATTTATGTGGGTGGGTCAATCGGTAAGCTTTAGCTGTAAGGGTGTGTGGGTGTTTAATGTGAGGTAAAATCATTCTACCTGCGCTCAAATTCGCTATTAACGAACGCCTCCGCTGCGTTCGGATGCTTTCGACACGGCACAAAGCCGGGCATGTGCTGAAACAACTTTTTAGTATTCAATTCCATTTCGGCTGCAGTCGGCGATAGACATCCATTGTGCAGCTGATGATGGCTATTAGCGTTCAGCCGTAGGCCTTGTTGGGGTTTACGTACGACGGGCGCCACACTGGCTGAGGATGTGTTATGTTTGTAGCTTTTGTAGGTGTGACCATGTGGAATTTCGGTCTCTTTCAACTTTTCCTGTAGATTGGTAATATTGAAGCATGGCAGGCGCTGTAAATAAGTGAGATAAAGTGGGTTGTGTAAAATGCATTTGTGGATTTTACTCAACAAAGATGAGTACGCATGTATATGTGGTTGCATGATAGGAGAACGATATTAAGCGGAAGCGGAAACGCTTGTCAATGTTGACATGGAAGTCAATTTGAGTGCGACATTGGAAATCGATGTGGTCAATCTTTGGATAAGTGATAGCTGTGTGAATACCAGATTTTTGTATGAGCTCTGTTTCACTTTGTTGTTGTTGGAGAAGAGAATTGAGTGCGAAAGTATAGTAATTTGTACGCGTTTGGTGTGCGTATTCGATATATGTCAGATATGCCCCTAATTGTGAGCAACATTTGTACTTACATTATATTGGCCAATTTCCTGCAAACTAATGTAGAGAAAGATATTCAAGAGACCCACAAACTCTGTGGTTATAAAACCAATCACGAATAGGAAAAAACTCTGTCCGTAGGTAACCTTAATGAGCGGCGGCTGTAGGGATGATCTCGCGCGCAGTTTCGAGCCGATTTCCGCTTTTAATATCGATATATATGCAATCAAACCGATGAGCATTAATAAGCCTGGAATTGGAAATAGAGAACGGAAAAAAGTGCTGAAATTAATATAATCAATTAATATTAATCAACAATTTTTATACATATAATTAACACTATGTAACCGCCGAAGCGATTTTCGGCCGACCTCCACCTCCATTTTGTGGTGTGCGTCTTCATGGTTTCCAAAAAATTTAGGTGTACCTATACTTTATTCTGAGCCCCTTCCAAACGAGGGTGGATTTTTAGGAGGAGCTTTTTTATATCTTGTCAGAAATACACTCACAGAGCTTGGCATTCGCTGCCGAGGGGCGACCTCAATTCGAAAATTCAATTTTCTATAATTTTGGATGTTGGTCGGTCATTGCGACCGCCAATATCTTAGGTTAAGTAAAAAGTCATCAATTATTTTTGCATTAAGTTGAAGGCTTTATTTGCCATAGGTAGACTTATCCGATTTATGTCAAATATGCTCCGTTGTGTTAGATAACTTTATGGCGTTTTGAAGGTTTGAAGGTGATTATGCCTCTCTAACAGAAACTCTTGCCAAAAAATTGTAACAATCGATTTTCACAGGCTTCTCTTAAGGTCAATTCTTTACCAGCTAAATTGTTCGCCATACACAGAAACAGATGCGAAGGAAGTTAGGGCTATAAGTTGGATGGATAAGAACCTCCCAACCAAGCTCTCGCAGCTTCTGGCGAGTCAATATCGATGTGTTTGGTCTGGCGTTGTTATTATGAAACACAATTCCCCTCCTACGGACCAACGCTGGGTCCAGAAGCTCGCTACTTCCTTTAGATGGCCCAATTTTTGACAGTGCAGGTCTGAATAAAGAGTTGCGCTTAAGCAAGCTCATTGCTCTTCAACCGCGACCGTTTCCATTGGACATTACAGTAAGTGATCCACTTTTTATCACTGGATTGATTTTGTTATGATTGAGCAGGCAGCAAATCGCCGATCGAAACTCGATAACTCATATTACAGCCATTTATCGAGCTTCTTTGTATAACCAGCCTTTTTCAAATGGTTTTCAGTTGTTTTTTGTGTAATGTGTGTGGGCTCGCATGACGGTCAGACTTGACGATTTCCATTATTTTATAGAGATTTCAGACAATTGGCATTCTACACCGTGGAGCATATTTTTTATATATATATTGTGCATTATATAACCGATATAGTCGTATCCGAATCCTAACCACAATTCACATTTTCAGCTGTCTGACCTGCGTTTTCGCTTTCAACTTAGAAAATCTATACAATATAGCATTGGTTCTCTTTGCTCTTGTCCATCTTTGACATGCGCTCCAACATTACTGAGTTAAAATATCAGAACTTCTCGTTATCTTTTCGATTACATAACAAAATCAATCTATTGCCTCTAGCGCAATCCAATCGCACGCGTCCTAGATATAATGCAAGCTACAGATCACGAAATCTATTGCCAAAATAATGGATGACCTTTTACTTGACCAATGTAAAATTTACTGTATTTAAAATAGGAATTTTTATTTTTTTTTTTGTAAAACGTTATAAAGTTGCCACCCTATTCTGTTTAATATCACAAACTAAAAAGCATCACAAAACTTATTATGCCCAATTTGGTTTATATTGATGCTGAATAGCATAGTTTTAGGCGCACTATTGCCATCTACGTTGATTACAAAAATATTTCATTCAAAGTTTTGTTTCGATTTATTTCTTAAGAATTGGAAATAACTATTATTTATGCAGATTAATTTCTTGTAACAAAAATTAAATTCAATAAATTTATTTATTTTTGCTTGACTTAATTTATTTTCTTATTTTTATGACCTGTAATATGTTCAATAGACACGTATATATGTATGTCACAGACTCACCTGATACAATAAACATTATGCCCGCACTGAAGTAGTATAAATTATTCTGATGCGAACATGTTGGCACGAGGAATACTATAAAGCTGAGCAGTAGAAAGATGCCAGCGGCCAGAAAGAAGGGACACGATTTGGTGACTGTGTCTGTAGGATTTAAAAAAAAACTTTATTTTTGCAACTGAGAAATTATACAAATTTAATTTGTAGTTGGTCCATGTATATATCCATACATATATTTTTATTTATACATTTTATTTTTTCATATAAACATTCAAGCATTCGTGCTAGAAGATTTATTTATGGTACATTGGTATATACCCGTACATAAGTAAGAATAAATAGTGCTTGTGAGATATTTTTGTTTGTAATAAACCAAGCTTACAGAAATAAAATATCAAATTCTACAATATACTATATATATGTACCTATAAGTACACACATACTTATGTACATAAGCATTAAACTGAAAGTTAGTAAGAAATTCTAAAACTAAATTTATATATTTAAGTGTGTTATAAATGAAAATAAATGAAATTTCTCTACTCTTTGGGTACGCTAGTTACACACTGGTCGTCATGAAACTGGCACGGCAAATGTTTTGAGGTAGCAATGTTTTCGGAATATCGGATATTATATATGAAATTGAAAATTGTACCCAAAATCGGCCACAATCTGCTGATGGAGACTTTTTTTTGAGAAATGATAGAATTAACTAGTCACACAATATTTTATGCATTAAATGAAAATGAAAAGAAATGAGCTCAAAAAGAAGTTCTTTTAATTTTAATTTTAATTTGTGCTACCCTTCGAGAGGGTGTGCCATTCAAGTGACCGACAGCGTACAAACGTATGCCACTATTCAAGTTCATATCCAACCTTTCTTATAAGTAAATCACTACATACCTATGCCAAGTTTCTAAAAATGTGTTTTATTTATTTATTTATTTATTTTTTTTATTAAATACAAGCATTAAAAGCAATTTGATAAACCTTCACACAGAAAATATTGCCGAGATGCAAATTTAATCACTCACACGTTTTTATAACAACTAAGTTGTGGTAAATTTATTTTCCATTTTGATATCTAAGCTTGCTTATTTAAAAGTCAGCACATCGAAAATGAAATATGAAAGGCGCTCAAGCAATGAAGGAGATGTGCAGTGAAAATGTCGGCAATATTTTCGCATTTTAATACATAGAAAATGAATTATTTGTGGCCCTGGCAGTGAACATTTTATCATTGATGAAGTGAAAAAAAGATTTAAATGAGGGCTAAAACGTTTTTGTTTAATAATGCAAATAAAATACACTTGTAAATTTGAGCCCAAGAAAATAGAATATTTAAATATTTTTTAATGGTTTTTATTATTCAGCAGATGAGTTAATATATTAAAGGGAAAAGTAATCCATTAGTTTCTCAATATATGACTTTAGTCAGCTGTATCTGTATCTATATGACATTAGAAAGATGATATTTTTTACTTAAATAGAAAAAGTGCTGATCACTTAAAATATTGGATGAGTGCATAAGTTCGTGCCCGATTTCAAGTCCAAACTAAAAATGAATGAAGAAAGCGCTTTTATTAATCAATTATGTATTCGCCATCATGTTCGGCAATCCACTCCCAACGTTCAACCAATTTACGGATGCCTGATTCATAGAAATCGCGCGGTTTCTCGTTGACAAAGGTGTCAAGGTGGTTTTTGACGTCTTCCACATTATCAGAAGTTGCNGCTTGATTTACAGTTCGGACTGTCACCTTTCCAACGATATATAATATGTATATATTTCTTTCACGAGCGCCACTTTCAAACGATTCGAACAGCATCCAGCGGAATCGGGCACGAACTTATGCACTCATAATAGTTGCGAATGCCAAAGGAGGACACCAGCAAATAGAAAATACGCTTTATTTTAATATTTTTCTTTGATAAAGAGGAAAACACAAGTCAGGCAGATGAAAACATGTATAATCTCTATGGTCCGTTGATTCTGTGGCCCCACTGTGTGAAAGACACTTGTCGGAAATGATGGTTAAATAGTGACCCTCAAGTGAGTAGTTTTGCGAGTATCTAGCTTTTTTCGAGCTAGTCATTGCACAAAAATCTTTTAGGAATCATATGAAAAATGCTTTTACATTCGCCAGAAGCTCCGGAAGCTTGTTTGGGAGATACTTATGCATCCAACTTACAGTCTGGATGCCAAACGAAGTAATTATCATCTGTTCCTGTCTATGAAGAATGATTTGGCGGGTGACCGATTAACTTCAAGAGAAGCCTGCGAAAGTCGATTGCCTCAATATCTTGCCTAAAGACTACCGAGCGAAACAGTGCTTCTTTGAGAAAAATCGAATATTTGTAATTATGATAAATAAAGACATCAATTTAATACAAAAATAATAGATTTCTTTTTACTACCTAATATAAAGATCTTTTCTATTTTTTATTTTTATTTTTTCTTTTTGATTTAGCAACTTATTTGTATTTGTGGGCCACAGATTCGCTACTTAAAGTCTTTCTAGGAAATGTCATTATGAGTTTCTTGAAGTAAGACCAATGCATAATCCAGATCTAAGCTTGTTCAAACTCAAGTTGAATGTATAAAAATAGCTTGTAATTTGCAGGCGTAAAATAATAAAAATGCGAAGCAAACATACCTACACACGATCTATGCGTATATCCAAATGATACTGATTTTAACCAACCTGTTGGTGATGCCTTTGCAGTGAAAAAAAGTTTCATTTATATTGAGAGCCTTTTCAGGAAACAATAGTATTTCCTTTAGGCATATCATTAGAAAATTTAATCAACATCGAACCATGAATGTGTATATTTTTCCAAATAGATAAATCTACTTCCCATAAAAAACAGAATTTCAATTAAAAAAAACCATTGTTTACGCAAAAAATCATCTATAAACCGAATTTCAAGTAAATCGAGTAGGTCCGTCCCTGGTCCACTTCCCGATTTTTTTTTCATATAAACTTACCCTGAAACCATAAAAAACAAATTGACAAACTTTTAAGTGGTCGGTACGCTTTGGAGAATACCTAATTTTTACACAGAGTTTTATATATAAAATATCAAAGGTAAACAGATGAAAATTTGGAACAAGATATTAGAATGATCTTAATAGCAGTATTTCAAAAAGGGTGAGTCCATGAAAAGGTAAATTGTTTTGAGTTTATTTAAAGCCGCCTCTGAGCTGCTGATGGTTTTTTTTTACAAGTAGGCTTTATTTAATGTCGGAATTACACTCGGAGGGGTTAACATTCCCTGCCGAGAGGCGACTGCCATCAGAAAAATTAGCTTAATTTTTTATTTAAATTTATTTTCTATAACTTTCTTAAATGTTAGTATGACACCAGCATATGATCTCTTCCCAATGGCAGGACGCAACACTAACCACTCGGCTACCGCGGCCGGAGCTGGTAAAATCTGGTGTCAGTTTTAAATTATGACTTTTTAAGTAGGAAGTATTTACTACGAAGTCATAAATAATCCCGTTTTTAGTGTGAATATTACGTGTGGGGAAAAAGGGGACGTAAGGGCGTTGACCAAGCCAGACGGATGTTACAAATAGACCGACTGACACCTGCGCATAGTTTAGGCTTCTTTGCATTTAATAAGAAATTTATATTACATTTATATTACATTTATCTACATACATATATATATATATATATATATATATATATATATATATATATATATATATGTATGTATTGTATATATAACACATATGTATATTGAAATTAAATATATGTACAAATAAATAGGTTCCAAAAAAGTCACTTATGCCTTTTCTCCATTTATTTACTACATAATACATACACTACGCAAACACACAAGCGTACAAATAATTAAACACATTATAAATATTGAGACAACGAGTTTCGCATTTTGCTAGCAATAAAATAGTTTTATTTTTAATTGCTTTCATTTCAAATAGCAATTGGATTGGTTTTTTTTTTTTTTGAATTGTTTTTCAACCAAAAGGCATATAACGAAATAATAATGCGTAAATTCGCATTTAGCCATTAATGGTTGTGTTGCATTTGAAATGCGTAAAATTTGAATTATTAATAGCTTAGTTATGCTCTTATGCTCACACACACGCACAGCACTGCACTTAATTCATGAGCTATGAATTTTCTATATTTTGCTCTCTGCCTTTTGCTACAAAAAAAAGGAAATATTCAAAAATTTATTTTTTGCCTTAAAATTGTTGTTGTTGTTGTCGTTTGCGGATCCTAACTATTAATTATAATGTAATTGGCAACAAGTTCAGAGCTGTACTAGTGTAAAAATAATAACAACAATCATATAAATAAATGTAAATATTTTAGCAACTTTCTAAATGAATTTGGTTTAATTTTGCTTAATCAAAATGGAATGTGTGGCAACTAAAAAAATGCTTGCTTTTACATATTCAAGTGGCTTACAGTTTCATGCCTAAATTTGTGTGTAAATTGTAAGAATTTTAATTTAATACATTTGTACGGTTGTTGAAAAAAACATTTTTTATGATTCTGAATCCATTGCCAGTGTTACCCAGGTGGGTTTCGCAAACCAAAAAAAAAAAAAAAAAAAAAAAAAATAGTACTTCATATATTTTGAAACTTTTATGCATTAATATTTCAACTATTTCTTTTATTTTATAATTTATTTATCTTATAATAATGACAAAAAATATCGTTTGAACAATAACAATGTGTATTCAGCCCAAGCAATTAGTAATGAGTTATTGGCATTTATATAATATTTCGTAGCCCTCAAACACATGGCAAGAATAATTAAAAGTATGTTTACCTGAGAAACTTCTTGCTTCATCTGTATTAAATTTTTTAAGAAGATTGCAAAACTTGTAAATTGTTTTCCTTTGCTTCAATTTATAATTTTAAATTGAAACTTTCGAAGGGCGAACTATTTTCAAAAATATTTTTATTTTTAGAATTTCTTAATTTTACTATCTTAAAAATATGACTGCATTTTAAACAATTTCAAAAGGTGATATCCCTCAAACAAATTTTTTACTGCAAGCTTTCATAATTACTGATAGTTTAATATCCTCAAAACAATATTTCATTTAATTGTATTTAAAAATTCGAAGCAGGTGGGAATTAGCTCTCTGCACCAATAAA